CTCCTCCCGGGCCTACCTGCCCCCTCCTCCCCGGGCCTCCGTGGTCACTCCTCCCCGGCCTCTCTGCCCCCTCCTCCCCGGGCCTCCGTGGTCACTCCTCCCAGGCCTCTCTGCCCCCTCCTCCCAGGCCTCCCTGCTCCCTCCTCCCCAGCCTCTCTGCCCCCTCCTCCCAGGCCTCCCTGCTCCCTCCTCCCCGGCCTCCCTGCTTTCTCCTCCCAGGCCTCCCTGCTCCTTCCTCCTCGTCCTCCCTCTTCCCTCCTCCTGGGCCTCCCTGCCCCCTCTTCCCAGGCCTCCCTCTTCCCTCCTCCCAGGCCTCCCTGCTCCCTCCTCCCCGGGCCTCAGTGGTCACTCCTCCCAGGCCTCCCTGCTCCCTCCTCCCCGGTCTCCCTGCTCTCTCCTCCCGGGCTTCACTGCCCCCTTCTCCCACACCTCCCTGCTCCTTCGTTGGCCTCCCTGCCCCCTCCTCCCCGGCCTCCCTGCTCCCTCCTCCCCCCCAGGCCTCCCTGGCCCCTCCTTTCAGGCAGGCACCTGTGGCCTGACATACTGTACCCTCCTGCCAGCCTGCGGATGCTGCTTTCTGGAAGACGTCTGTGGAACGTTCTGTCCAGTATTCTTGTCAGTTTTCAGCAAGAGGGTTGGTTGGTGTGCCCAGGTCATTATATTGGCAAAAGCAGGAGCCTGAGAGCCCACTGCGGAATAGCCACAGGGCCAATTCCAGAACCCAAACCGCAGAGCTGTGCGAACCCAGCGTTGTGAAGGGGGAAGAGCTGCAGGCTCCACAGCAGGACCTCGTAGCCAGACACGAGGAGGGTGCTGCTGCGGGGACGCATGGTGGATTCGGGGAGACACGGACCTCCCACCCCCGCTCACTGAGGTCACGTTCTGAATCACGGGGAACGGTGTGCCCGTCAGGTAAAGCTGTGCGGAACGAGCATCCAGTCGGCGCCCACTGCGGGAGCCTGCTGTGCGCCACGTCACGGAGGCGGTCCCTGCTCCTCCTAGATGGGGTGAGAGAAAAACTGGCCGAGTCTTACCGTGGGCAAGGGTCCCATGGGGACAGCAGGGGGGGACCTGCTCTCTGAGGACACTGCATCTGGGACCCAGTCCTGCGTCGATCAGGCAGTCAGGACTGTGAGCCCAAAGAAGCTGACCTGTGGTCCATGGGTTCTGGGACTTCCTCCCCGGACCTCTCCTCCATAAGACTTGGAAGAGGAGGAGGGCGCTGCCCCGTCCCTGGGTAGTTCGAGGAGGAGGAGGAGGAGGAGGAGGACGCGGCCCCGTCCCTGGGTATTTGGAGGAGGAGGACGCGGCCCCGTCCCTGGGTAGCTGGAGGAGGAGGACGCGGCCCCGTCCCTGGGTAGCTGGAGGAGGAGGACGCGGCCCCGTCCCTGGGTAGTTGGAGGAGGAGGAGGACGCGGCCCCGTCCCTGGGTATTTGGAGGAGGAGGAGGAGGACACAGCCCCGTCCCTGGGTAGTTGGAGGAGGAGGAGGAGGACGCGGCCCCGTCCCTGGGTAGTTGGAGGAGGAGGAGGAGGACACAGCCCCGTCCCTGGGTATTTGGAGGAGGAGGAGGAGGACACAGCCCCGTCCCTGGGTATTTGGAGGAGGAGGAGGAGGACACAGCCCCGTCCCTGGGTAGTTGGAGGAGGAGGAGGAGGAGGACGCGGCCCCGTCCCTGGGTAGCTGGAGGAGGAGGAGGAGGACACGGCCCCGTCCCTGGGTAGTTGATGGAGGAGGACACAGCCCTGTCCCTGGGTAGCTGGAGGAGGAGGACGGGGCTCCGTCCCTGGGTACTTGGAGGAGGAGGAGGACACAGCCCCGTCCCTGGGTAGTTGGAGGAGGAGGAGGAGGACGCGGCTCCATCCCTGGGTAGCTGGAGGAGGAGGACGCGGCCCCATCCCTGGGTAGCTGGAGGAGGAGGACGCGGCCCCGTCCCTGGATATTTGGAGGAGGAGGACACAGCCCTGTCCCTGGGTAGTTGATGGAGGAGGACGCTGTTTGCTTGCTGATGTCATTGACCGTTTTTCTCGGTGTTTTGCTGTCACGGGATGACAGTAAATATACAGCTCGTAGGTTTTCTGGAGATGAACCGGGAGACTCTTGAGCTTGTGGTGGGTCCTGCGGGTGCTGAGAGTGAGGGGAGTGCTGTTGGTGAGTGTCACCGGGAGCCCGTGGCGTGGGCTCTGCACTGGGTGAGGGGCTGAGGCTTGTGCCCGCAGCAGTACCTGCTGGTCGACCCCCTCACCTGCCTGTGTCTGTGCCCGCTCTGCATCTGCCTCTCAGGATGTGAGTCAGCCGGGCTCCGGGGGCAGGGTTGTGCCTCGCCATGTCAGTGCCCTCAGGAGTCTGGGGCGTGGGGCTGCTCTTGTCCCCAGGGCTCTGCCAGATGTGAGGTCACTGGTGTGGCCCATGGGAATCAGGAGCCAGTCCTCTTGGGTGTCTCGGGCATCTGGGTTGCTTGGCTGCTCTGCCAGGTGTGATGGGTACTCACTGTGGAGCAGTGAGCCACTGTGGGGTCCCTGTTGGTATCAGGTAGCCCCCCAGATGCATGTGTCCCTGCGGTGGGTGTGTGAGTGTCCCCATGGCCGGGTGGAGGGGTCCCTGCAGTGGGTGTGTGTGTGTCCCCGTGGTAGGGTAGAGGTGTCCCTGCAGTGGGTGAGTGTCCCCGTGGCCGGGTGGAGGGGTCCCTGCAGTGGGTGAGTGTCCCCGTGGCCGGGTGGAGGGGTCCCTGCAGTGGGTGTGTGAGTGTCCCCGTGGCCAGGTGGAAGTGTCCCTGCAGTGGGTGTGTGAGTGTCCCTGTGGCCGGGTGGAGGTGTCCCTGCAGTGGGTGAGTGTCCCCGTGGCCAGGTGGAGGGGTCCCTGCAGTGGGTGTGTGAGTGTCCCCGTGGCCAGGTGGAGGTGTCCCTGCAGTGGGTCTGTGAGTGTCCCCGTGGCCAGGTGGAGGGGTCCCTGCAGTGGGTTTGTGAGTGTCCCCGTGGCCGGGTGGAGGTGTCCCCTGCGGTGGGTGCGTGAGTGTCCCTGTGGCCGGGTGGAGGTGTCCCCTGCAGTGGGTTTGTGAGTGTCCCCGTGGCCGGGTGGAGGTGTCCCTGCAGTGGGTCTGTGAGTGTCCCCGTGGCCAGGTGGAGGGGTCCCTGCAGTGGGTTTGTGAGTGTCCCCGTGGCCGGGTGGAGGTGTTCCTGCGGTGGGTGTGTGAGTGTCCCCGTGGCCGGGTGGAGGTGTCCCCTGCGGTGGGTGCGTGAGTGTCCCTGTGGCCGGGTGGAGGTGTCCCCTGCGGTGGGTGTGTGAGTGTCCCCGTGGCCGGGTGGAGGGGTCCCTGCAGTGGGTGTGTGAGTGTCCCCGTGGCCGGGTGGAGGTGTCCCTGCAGTGGGTGTGTGAGTGTCCTCGTGGCCGGGTGGAGGGGTCTCTGCGGTTGGTGTGTGTGTCCCCGTGGCCGGGTGGAGGGGTCCCTGCAGTGGGTGTGTGAGTGTCCCCGTGGCCGGGTGGAGGGGTCCCTGCAGTGGGTGTGTGTGTCCCCATAGCCGGGTGGAGGGGTCCCTGCAGTGGGTGTGTGTGTCCCCATAGCCGGGTGGAGGGGTCCCTGCAGTGGGTGTGTGAGTGTCCCCGTGGCCGGGTGGAGGGGTCCCTGCAGTGGGTGTGTGAGTGTCCCCGTGGCCGGGTGGAGGGGTCCCTGCAGTGGGTGTGTGAGTGTCCCCGTGGCCGGGTGGAGGGGTCCCTGCAGTGGGTGTGTGTCCCCATAGCTGGGTGGAGGGGTCCCTGCAGTGGGTGTGTGTGTCCCCATAGCCGGGTGGAGGTGTCCCCTGCAGTGGGTGTGTGAGTGTCCCCGTGGCCGGGTGGAGGGGTCCCTGCAGTGGGTGTGTGAGTGTCCCCGTGGCCGGGTGGAGGGGTCCCTGCAGTGGGTGTGTGAGTGTCCCCGTGGCCGGGTGGAGGGGTCCCTGCAGTGGGTGTGTGAGTGTCCCCGTGGCCGGGTGGAGGGGTCCCTGCAGTGGGTGTGTGTGTCCCCATAGCCGGGTGGAGGTGTCCCCTGCAGTGGGTGTGTGAGTGTCCCCGTGGCCGGGTGGAGGGGTCCCTGCAGTGGGTGTGTGAGTGTCCCCGTGGCCGGGTGGAGGGGTCCCTGCAGTGGGTGTGTGAGTGTCCCCGTGGCCGGGTGGAGGGGTCCCTGCAGTGGGTGTGTGTGTCCCCATAGCCGGGTGGAGGGGTCCCTGCAGTGGGTGTGTGTGTCCCCATAGCCGGGTGGAGGGGTCCCTGCAGTGGGTGTGTGAGTGTCCCCGTGGCCGGGTGGAGGGGTCCCTGCAGTGGGTGTGTGAGTGTCCCCGTGGCCGGGTGGACGTGTCCCTGCGGTGGGTGTGTGTGTCCCCGTGGCCGGGTGGAGGGGTCCCTGCGGTGGGTGTGTGAGTGTCCCCGTGGCCGGGTGGAGGGGTCCCTGCAGTGGGTGTGTGAGTGTCCCCGTGGCCGGGTGGAGGTGTCCCTGCAGTGGGTGTGTGTGTCCCCGTGGCCGGGTGGAGGGGTCCCTGCAGTGGGTGTGTGAGTGTCCCCGTGGCCGGGTGGAGGTGTCCCTGCAGTGGGTGTGTGTGTCCCCGTGGCCGGGTGGAGGGGTCCCTGCGGTGGGTGTGTGAGTGTCCCCGTGGCCGGGTGGAGGTGTCCCTGCAGTGGGTGCGTGAGTGTCCCCGTGGCCGGGTGGAGGTGTCCCCTGCGGTGGGTGTGTGAGTGTCCCCGTGGCCGGGTGGAGGGGTCCCTGCAGTGGGTGAGTGTGTCCCCGTGGCCGGGTGGAGGGGTCCCTGCGGTGGG